TAAAGTGCCATTATCGAAAACAGCTTTTAAAAAGAATGATTTTTTGTATGGATAATGGAGAACCTGTGAACATTACCATCCTGGATGCTGTTCAGTTTTTAGGCAATGCGTGGAGTGCGGTTACGTCAGTGACAATTCATAAGTGTTTTCGTCAAGCAAAATTGACTGTAGCTTCTCTCAATGATGAGGACGTTGATAAAGATGACGAAATGCCTTTGTCAGAGTGGATACAAAAATTTAATGTGAATCTGGGAGCGTTCGGTACTAATATTGACCTCTACATTTCAGTAGAAGATGAGGTGGAAACATTTCAAGTCCTAAGTGATAAAGAAATTGTTGAACTGGTGCAAAACGTGGAAATGGATGTCGATGAAGCTGAAGAAGAAGAAGGCATCGTTGCTTGTCCTACAATATAAGAAGCAATGAGAGCTGCTGAGACCATATCCAGGTTTTACCAGTTCAGGGAGGCATCCACAAATACCAAAGAAGCAGCTCAGCTTATTAAGGAAACAACAGAAAAACTTTATTTTTCGGAAAGGGTTGTGCAAAAGAAAATAACGGACTTTTTTCAGCAATAGAACTTTTTTACACAATGTAAGTTTTATATACATACATAATATGTTTTGTTTTTTAATTGTTTTTTATCCTAAAATGATTCTTGTTTTTTTTTAAATTTGACTTAAGTAAATGTTATATTTTCGGTATATCGTAAACAAATAAAATATCTACTATACCCAATAATGCTGTAATAATATTTTCCCTCGTTAAAATTTTATTTTTTTCAACCTCGTTTTTAACGTCACTCTGATATAGCGTCATTTTTTTATTGGACCCTTCAATGACGCTATAACCAAGTTCCACTGTACCTCGAGTTAAAAAAAGGGCTCAGTTAACAGAAGAAGAAATAATAAAAACAAGGGGCATTTACAATAGTAGAATCATTGTTGACAATATTTAATTAAAAAAAAACATAAAATACTGAAGGATGGAATTTCTTCTAAATTATTCCCATATATGAGTAAAATAATTTATAACTGTTTTATGATTTGTAACTTTAAAAATAGAATAAGTAACACTTTCTGAAAATTATTTTCCTCTCTTATCTGTATATATTGATCAATTGAATTCTTGGTGGGACAGCATATATTTTGTTATTAGTTTTAAATATAATATTTGTGACTTGTTACTATTTACCAACTATAATTTGTTTTAAACTTGGACATTATAAGATTTAAACAAGATTTAATTTCGTTGGTTAACTATGAGACAGAAAATTAAAAACGAATAACTTTTTTCAACTCAACGTTGAAATATCCATTATCCAAAAATGTTCAAACTAAAGATTAAATAACTCACTAATTTCACAAATTTTAAACACTGTGAAACTATAACTGAAAATCTGCAAAAATGTATTGACATCTGAATCTGAGGAATAATATGAGGTTATGATTTAGTACCAAACCTCGACGTAAGCGCCCCTACGGATATTTTTTAACTGACGTATGGCATGTGATCTATTATCTGAGGAAGCTCAGTAAGCACTAAATACAGATTAAAAGATTTTGTAAAGATTTTCCGCGAAAATGCTCGAGAAACCATACAAAAGAAGACATTTTAATTGGTTGATGATTACATTCTTTTTCTTCCTCTTTATAAGCAAGTCTGCTTTTTTATTGGCAGATTAATACCTCTATGGAAGGTTGTTACTACATCCTTTGCGCGGTCGTCCGATACTTCTTTTGTCGATTGATGAATTACCTCTTGCTATTTTGACGACACGGGTATCTTCCAATCTGCTTATGTGGTTATTCCATTATTTTTTTTTCTATTTTGTACCATTCAATTAAATACTGTACGTTGCATTTTCTCCTAATGTCTTCGCTTCTCTTTCGATCTCTCAGCGTATTTCATGTAATTTTTCTCAGTACTCTCATCTTTGCCGTTTCCAGTAGCCTTTGCGTTATGGCTGTGCCAGGTCTTCTCTTTTGTTAACGGTTTTGATGATTTCATCCATGATTAAACTGAAGAGCATGGGGCTCAATGAGTCCCCTTGTCTTATTCGGCTACCTATTCTATAGGTTCTTTAACATGTCAGTCTATTATGACTTCCATTTTGTTGTTTTGGTAGATGTTTTCGATAGTTTTTATAATGTTTCGAGGAACTTCTCTATTATACAGAAGATAGATTACATCTTTGAGTCTTACTCTGTCAAACGCTTTCTTTAGGTCAATCAGACACAGAAATGCTGGTGTATTATACTCTAGTAATTTCTCAGTAATTTGCTTTATAACGAATATTGCATCTGTACACGATCTTCCACTACGAAATCCCTGTTGTTCATCTGGTTAACTTATCCTCTGATTTATTAGTACTTGTAAAATTTTAGTTGTAGCTTTTTGCGTAGTATTTAACAAGCTTATACCTCAGCAGTTTTTTATGTACTCAATCCAAGTATCCTTTTATATGTGTTTTGGTTCTATTAGTTTCTTTACCTCCGTTATTTGACCTATCATAAAGCGCAATATTTCCTTTTGCAGACGGTAAAAATTATTTTCCATTTCTTTCGAAAAGCGTTCCCAGTGATCATTTTTTATTTTTCTTTGTGCATGTGTTTCGTTTCTAATTGTCTTGTAATTATGGTATGCCTCTTGTGTTTTGGTTGACATATATAAACTTGTATAAAAATGATATATCTGATAAGATTGGGTAAATGTTTGGTAGTAGTATTTATGTAAAGAAATGTTTATAAATCTTGATCTAAAGCAGATTTCCAAGGTCTAATAGCTTCTAAAAATATATTTATATGTAGTACACTCTACCAATTTATGTAAAATGGGAAAAAAGCATAAACTTATGTATTATAAACAGGTTTTTTAATAGTTAATACACCTATTTAACAAAAATCTTACCTTAGCCTTACGAAAACTATAAAAATTCAATTTCTGAAATAAACTCGACTTTAAAGGATCATATTCATTTTGACAGCGAATATGTTTGAGCATTATATAAAAATATATATCTTTAACAATAAAATAAAAAGGAGAGAAAAAAACTTATATCACAATCTACTTCATCTTATGGCACTCTTTTTAACTTTGCTTTTTTTATATAATTTGTTTTTCTTCAAAGCCGTCTAAATCTATAATTATTCGGTAGCTGTGTTTAACATTTTTACCATATTTTTGTTGCACACTAAAGCAATGTTGTTTACAGATGCATTACGAGAGGAGTGTTTATTAGTGCTGCAAATCGATACGTATAATTACTAGAGAGCAATGGATTCTTAAGTTGTATTCAATCGCCAAGTTCAAATTAGTAAAAACAAAAAAAAATTTAAGATACCTACCTAAAAGGCAAAATTTATAATTATTTAAGTAGTGATATGTGTTATTGGAGTCAATGTAACTTTTTTAACGAAAATAATATCTTTTATATGGCAAATGTGTCACTAAGATACTCTAACAACAGATATCAACATATTTTTTTTTTAATTTTTTAGTCAATTTTTTAACCAGGAACAGATTTTCTTAATATAAATATTATAGCATATGAAATCGTAGGCTTCCACGGCCAGAGTCAGAATTATAGTTTATTCGTCTTCCGGGTTTGGACCGTGTTATTTGTGAGTGACCCAAAAGTGGGTTCATCTCGACGTTTCGCTACAATTGTATTATGTAGCTTCTTCAGGAGAACAAAGAAAAAGAAAACAAAAGACAGGAAGATGGGTAGTTAGCAACGGTAACTCAGTTACTCAACGCAACCAGAGGCGAATACTAACTACCAAGATGGGCATTTGGTCACAGTAACTCAACTACTCAACGCAGCCAGAGGTGACAACCAAATGCCAGGACAGGGATTCACGTCCAACAGTTCAGAACACTAACGCGTCGAGAGGCGAGGAGGATTCACTCCCCATCACTTTAAATTTTTAGATGATTTCCCCCCTTAAAATAGATGTTAAATATTAAGTAGAAGCATAAAACGATGTAATAAAATTATAGATAAACTTATAAATAACATAAGTCTTGTAAAAAAGAGGAATGCTGATGACAAAACTAAAATTTTTGAAAAGTTTCCAGAATTTTGGCCACTAGTGTAACAGTTATAGGATTAGAGGACCACAATAGATCTGAAATGGTCGCAGTGGAATAGGCCAACAGGCCACCTCGAAATATATCTATCTAACTCAATTGAATGCTATAGAAAAATAAAAAACGTCTATTGGTCCGATCGTAATGCGTGAGGTGATGCGGTTAATAAAATATGATAACATAGAAAAAACTAAATAAGGTGCCAAAGGGACGTACACATTACTTAAAAGGGTAACTTGTGCAAGGTGTCACGTGATAGGATTTTTATCAGATTTTCGCGATTTGTTGCGTTTGTGAATTCTTCAGCCTGTAAAATCTTTTCTTTTTCATCCGCTAATTCGGAACATTACCAAGGAGGCGCAAAAGCGAATGTTATCTTAACTTGGCATGACATTATTGCTTTCAGATTGTATTGCCTTCTTAAAATTCACAAGCCCCAACCTAGTAGAGGACTTGCAACGTCCATACAATTATATAATACATGTACATCTACATAAACTTCCTATGATTAAATTTTCGGTTTGCTACCATCCACAGAGAAAAACAGAAAACTACTAAAGCGCCATTATCAAGTAAACGCCCGGAAATGACACAAGAGTACAGTTCTCTATGCTCTCGTGTCACAAAATAACAATTATCAAGAAGAAGCTAAACGAGATGAGTAATGCCAGCATAGAAAGAAAAAAGACTATACCACATTCAGGCATTGCGGAACGAACGAATGATGGAGAAGCCATGAAACAATGCATTGTTACATATATTTTATTATTTTTGTCCCACCGCGATGAGTTAAGTGATAATGTGTTGATAACAAATATAGATATTTTTTAATACTTAATATTTTCTAATTTGAACTGTGGCGATTAAAAATACAGATATACCCTAATCACAACGAATTGTAAAGCTTTCCGTTATGTTTTCCTAGCGTCTTAGGATGCTCCACTCAGACTACTTATAGTATCGCTGTTTTTACGACTAGATAAAGGCTTAGAAATACCTAATTGTACAGGACCCAAAGGTGCACCTTTTAGTACTTGCACCGCTTGATCTAATGTGACATTTTTAATAACTATTCCATTGACGCTGATCAGCCTGTCTCCTGGAGTTAACTTTCCATTTTGTTCGGCAGCACCGTGCGGTACTAAACTTCTCACTACGATAACGGTGGATCTGGGATCCAACGGATCTTGGTAATCTAATATTGAAAAGCCCAGACCTCTGTCCGTTTTTTTCAGGTCAATGTATTCTATTTCTTCCGACCACATCGCTACATTGGTTACTTCTAGTGAACGAGATTTTGCTTTTTGTAGACTGGAGTCCTCTGTAACTTAAAAATAAAAGAAACACGTTGAAACGTATTAATTATACAATCAAATTTAAAATATACAAAGTAGGTATATTTTCACTTTAAGAGAATTTGAGAAAAATCATAATAGTTCTAAAGGAATAAAATAATAATATATTAATAAGTATAATTCATATTGGGACCGTGCAAGTTCGGAACAGCGACACCTGGTGTCGTAAATCAGCAAAATTTACTGCGCTTTCATGTTAGATCGAGGTTACCGGATAACTGTCAAGGACGTAGCCTCAAAAAAAGAATAAGAAAAAAAAAGTAAGATTGAGGTTATGTCGGTATGTTATTAAAAGGTAAACGTTGTATGTAGTGTAAATACAAATAAATATAGTATTAAATTACAGCATTACTGTTAATATGGATGCAATAATAAAAACTGGATTTGAGAAACTAAATCACCAAATAATTTTTCAACCAAGCACTGAGTCAAAGAGAAAAGCTTTAGTAGTGGCAAATGTCAAAAAAGAATGGAAGAATTAAGAAAAATAAATTACCATAAATAATGCTAATGCATAAATTAGCAGGTTAAGTCGATAATATTGGTTTGAACAACTAATTCTTTCCCTGTAAACTTTTGGACAGCGAATATATCTTAATGCATCTTCAGAAAAACTTGAACTTGATGCATTTTTGTAAACTTCAAAAAAATAAAATTTAAACTTTAAACTCGATTTTTGGATTAAAATGAACTCTAAGTGAGTGTTATGAAACTAAAATTTACACTTAAAAGTGAACTTTTATTTATTATTTATTTCAAACTGACTTTAAAATCGAGCGCAAGAATAATGCATAATTTAGGTTATGTTACTTATGCTTTTTTATGATATAAATCCACTTTTCTCTTTGTAGTAGCTTTGTGCTTCGAAGTTGGAAACGAATAAAACTTAAATTGACAATTTTTTGTTGTATTTTTACAATTTATAACACAGTATTTCCTAAATCCCATTTTCTTCAGTGACTGAAGGTGTAAATAAACAAACGAATATAAAATATGACAATTGACAATATGAATTTATGAAATCTATGAAATGTGCAGTAAAAAATGCAAGATTTCTCCGCTACTCGCGCACGATCGTTTCTCGTATCCCCTCCAAGTACTTGCACGTCGCCAATAGTAGTATATAAAAACAAAAACATAGTAAGGAAGGTATCATAATTAGGATCGCTAAATTCAATTCGACAGAACAAATGGGAACAAAAAGGACAAAATATATTAGATGGACTATCATCTTCCTTCTAGATATTTTATCTTCATAATTCTATCCAAATGAAGCTCTCCATACAGAAATTTAAGTTGAATGAAGTTTAACTATCATAATAAAGATTATAATCCTAAAAATGATAAGTTAATCATTTCTAATCTCTTAAATAATAAAAAACCTTTTCAATTGAAATTATTAATCTTTGCAACTCAGATTTTCTAAAATATTTTGTTATTGTAACACAAAAATTTTGAAGTTTTTAGAATAATCTCTTACTTTAATAAATATTTGGGTAATTTTCGGAAACGCAAAAGAGTAATAAATAAAAACGAAAAATCAAGTATACCGTTGTCGAATAAGGAATTAGTACCTGAAGATAGTATATGAGGACCTTAGAGGACGAGGGGTCTAAGTGATATTTTTGAAGAAAAAAAATGAGTTAGATGCATGAATGAGTTGTGAAAATACTAATCTATTTGATGGTGAATAGATCTAAGTGATTATTTCGATAGGTACTGCTATCTAGCGTAGTGTCCCATAACCACTGAGTAATGATAAGTTCAAACTGGGAACGCTAGGGGACCAAAGGCCATGAGATCCCTACACCACGAATCATCACTTCAGTTTAGTTGTAGTTGACATAGGTGTGATTAAAAACGATTATATTTTTTTGTAAATGGTTACAATATAAGTTATTTTACTGCTGGTGATTTTCAAAGTAGAATATATAAGTGTGTTACAATAATAAAACAATTTACTCTTACTAAATTGAAAAAAGTGAGGGAAAAGTTCAATCTAACCTACAATATGCAGGTAAGGTGTAATTGCTAGATATTTGTACTTACTTTCCTATTTAGATTTAGTTAGTATTATATTAATATGAAAGAATTAATATAGCAGTAATAATAAACATGACAAATGTACATTTTTTACAAAATAATTCGTTTTATAGATTCTATTCACAAGGAAAGTAATGGACAGAATCATGAAGATGCAAATGATGACAATCTATTTTTCTAAGTGGAAGCAGTGAGAGATCACTATTTGTAGAAGGCCATGATTCATGAAATAGACAGAGATTATAATCCTGAGGATGATAAACAATCTTGTAATTCTTCTTCAGGTAAGCTAAAAGTTATTATTTATTAAGTCTGAGGAGGAATGACAGATATTTTTCAGATAATACAGAAGAAGAAGGGAGACCTGGACCGTCCAATACTTTTCCTCTTAAACCTCGAAAATTGAGAAACACAGGGCATGCTTATCTGGATCTTAATACAAGGAAACACGAATGAAAAAGTTACGGGAATATAATCACCGGTGAAGGTTTCATAGCAACGAAAAGATTCCTTACGAACAGAGAGAACCAATATTTAATGAATATTGGAAGCTAGGTCAGTTTGAGCTTTAGACATCGTTTTTAAATGGTGCCTTAGAATTGCAGCCTGTCATGAGGAAGAAAGCGATAGCAGTCAGTCATAGAGACATATCATGTAACTATAACCTGGGTGACAATAGAGTGTGCCAGGTTTTGTTTAAGAGTTTTTAAACTCTTAAACAAAATTGAAAACAAGCAAAGTGGAGATAATTATGGATCCTATAAGAAACTTTCCAACTTACTCAACCCATTACAGTAGAGCTAAATCTCCAAACCAAAGATACCTAAATCCAGGCTTTAATGTGCCAATTATGTATAAACTTTACGAAAATTTGTGCACTTTTGTAATGAAAGGTTTTTTCAGATTTATATTCGAAACAAAATTAAACGAAACTTCCACAGACCTCAAACCGACATCTGTGTCACTTGTGACAGGTTAAAAATGAAAATTAGCCACTGCACGCCTGGTGAGAAGCAAACAGCTGAAGTTGAAAAAGAACTTCATTTAAGGAAGGCAGAGGCAGCTAAAGAAGCTAAACGAAAGTGCAAATTATTAAAGAATGACAGTCAAGTTGCGATATGCTTTGATTTGCAAAAGATGATACCGATACCTTATGTGACAAATTCAAAGGCCTATTATTTGCGCCAACTCTGGACGTAGAATTTGAATATCCACAACCTAACAAGTGAAACCGTCCACATGTACATGTGGCACGAAAAACAGACATGTAGGAGCTGCCAGGAGATAACGTTTTGTTTGTTAAAATTCGTTCAGAGTCTTTATCCGACTGTAAAACACGTCTCTGCGTTCAGTGACTACTGTGTAGGGCAAAAAAATCACCCATTTGTCAAATTTTGGCTTTATATTGTTAAGAATACCCAAATTAAAACTGTTGATCACCACTTCCTAGTCGCTTACAATGAATGCGATCAAGATTCTGGAATCATAGAACTTAAAAAGAAAAAGAACAAACGTGATATCTATATACCAGAAGACTGGATAAATCTGGCTGCTCCAACAAGTAGAAAATTTAATGTAACTAAGTTAATGGATGGGGAATACGAGGAATGCAGATATTGCATCATTATAAAAAGGCAAACCCATAGGATTTGTCTTTAACTAACTAATAACCCATTGTTTTTTTTATAAGACAACATCACCAGAGCCTTACCAAAAATTGTCAATGAAGAAACAACGAGCATGTAGAATTCCTTATCAGCTTTCCATGTTTCAATCGGTAATTAAAAAGCTCAAGCTTAAATACAATAAGTATGAAGATCCGATGAAACACTTGCAATTTATCCCACCGATATACCATGAATTTTGTCATTGAATTATTGTAAACAAGTATTGTAATATTGTTGATGTTAAAAATGTTGGTAATATATTTGAAATAAATCTTGTAACGTGTGGCATTCCTTTAATCAGAGAGCTATAGCTTCCTCCGTGGTTATTGTTAGTTGTTGCCCTGGAAACCATCAGGGTCTTCTAACTCTGGTTGCATTGCTGCTGTAGTGATCCTTTCCCAAGTTAACATCCTACTTTTGTAAACTAGCTGCACCGTACAGAAGAAGACCAATAGTCAGAAATACGTATATACGGTTGCCTTCCATTGATATACCCTTTTTAATTTTTGTTTTTCTGTTTTGCGCGAGAAATGCCATATACTTATATATATATATATATATATATATATATATATATATATAAAAATAATTAAGATCTCTTTTTAAATATATAACAGGCTACCTTGCTATCAGACATTCACAAATACAGTATACGTGTTAATTCGATTCATTGACGGATATAAAAAATACGCACGTTATCCCTATAGAAATTTTCATGCGACAATTAAAAAATATAGTTCGATCGTTTGTTTTCAACGCAAAATTCACAAATTAAATTAAACAATTCGTGGCTTCCAAAAAGAGCACTGTATAGATAACAGACAAATGGATATCTACATCCATACCAGTATATTTAAGAAAACATTAGGCCTAACAAGGATTTTGCAATGCATTCCGTACGTTTAGCAAATTTGTTCGTACTAAAAATTAAAAATCTAACAACTAAAATGTATGTAAAACGCATATTGTCGGTCACAAGAAAGTCGAAATGGTATAACTGATTTTGATACATCCAATAAGAAAATATTGTACCTACAGTACATCACAGTTTTCGTTTGTAGTGTATAACTATATTTGTTATTTTTTTGTATCAAACATATAAATAATTTTGAAGAAAATGCTAGGTAAAGGCTTAGAAACTCCTAATTTCACTACACCCGGCGATGCTCCTTTTAAAACTTGCACAGCTTGATCTAACGAAGCATTTTTGATGTTCACTCCATTAACGCTGATCAGTCTATCTCCTGGAATAACAGCCCCGC